CTCGTCTCTCCTCACACAACTGTCCATAATCTTTCTTGTGCTTAAGCCTTTGGTGGCTTCTTCGTATTGATGAAGACAGGGAGTAAATGAGCTGGAAACTAAGCTTGAGCAACAAGAAAAGGAAAGAAGGGAAGTTGGAAGCAGTGCCTAGAACAAAGCCAGAATAAATGAATGAGAAACAGCAACAGTAGAATTGATAAATAGATCCAAGAGTTGGTTCTTTAAAAAAGAAGATCAACCTGCTAAGGCTAACACATATATAGAAGAGCAGAGGCAAATGTACTTTAGGAGTGAGGGGCCGTGTGGACAATTATAGAGGCCATGAGAATTAAGACACAAATGTGGAGAAATCCCTGCTAAGATTAAAAATATGAATCATTCAGTAAATGTTTAAGAGATGATCTAGAAGAAAAAGATAAGATTCTGTATTGTGTTTTGAGAATATTTCTGTAGTAATTATCTTTAAATTTTACTTGCGGGACGCTTGGGTGGCTCAGTCGGTAAAGTGTCTGCCTTCGGCTCAGGTCATAATCCTGGGGTCCTGGGATCGAGCCTCGCATCTGGCTCTCTGCTCAGCGGAGAGTCTGCTTCTCCCTCTCCCTCTGACCCTCCTCCCCACTCATGCTCTGTCTCTCTTTCAAATAAAATCTTTTAAAAAATATACAAAATAAATCTTGTGTTATCTGAGCAAGGAGGAATATGTTTTCCTGATTCTATGGAAATCTGTACCATCTAAATACAGATGGTTGGGTTGTTATTGTAAAATAATCAAAGCCATAGTGAGCTAAACAGTTTTAGATTGAACAACAAATTTAACCTTCTGTTCCAGACAACTCTGGGTATAGCTGTAACAAACTGTTTTTCTCTCACAGATCCTACCAAACCAGCAAAAGACACTAATGCCAGAATTTAATACAGTTGTGGGGGTGGGGTGGGAAGAAAGCTATAAAATAGTTATAAAAATCCTAAGTAAAATATTAATAAGCTGACACCAGCAATCAAAGTAATGATGTGCCTTGGCCAATTAGAATTTATTTTAGAAGTACAAAGATGGCTCAACTTTTTTAAAAAAAAATCAAATTAATTACCTTAATAGGTCAAAGGAGAAAAACTATAAGATTATCATAAAGAAATTTCCAAAAACACTTGATAAAGTTCAGCCAGCTTTCCTGATTTAAAATTTTTGATAAAAAAAGAATAGGAGAATCCTTCCTTTATATCGTAAAATACATCAATGTTAACCCATAGCCATATAGAGCATCTTCCCACTGGATGCTTATAAATGTTAAATGAGAAATCTTATCGTCAAAACTTGAGGAAATTCTGGATCATTCAATGAAGTATTAGTGTCAGGAATAAGCAGGAGTACTAGTATTGAGCACTTTTTTTGGAGGTTTTATGTAGTAAAATAAGATGCTAAATGAGTATAAATATTAAAAAGATCTTGATAATTACATGTAGATGATACAATTATCCACTGAATAAATGGAAGCATTAATAGAGCTATTAAGAATTCAGTAATGTGGGTAGATAAAATATTGAGCTCTAGCCAGTTAAGACAGAAGATTTACAATATGCTGTCTTTCTGTCTGGACCATTCTGCCTGTCCTATCAGCTGCCCATGGACCTTCCCCTTTTAAATCTGAAACTTCCCTCAGGTCTCCCTTCACTCTCTCCAGCACAGATCCAGAACCAGACTGCCTGGGCTCAAATCCCACCTCCACTGCTTTGCTAGAGGGTAGCCATGGGCAGATTACTTAGCCTCTTTGCCTCAGTTTCCTTGTTTTTAAAATGGGGATCAGAAGTGTGCCTCTACCCTGTGAATTCTATCAGTATGCTCTGATGCTGTTATTCACGACCTCAGGAAACTGTCCCTGAGTACTGTTTCTCCTGACTACGCTCTGGTCATAAGTTCTTTAAGCTGCTGTGACTTGACATTTCTGTGTGATTTTGATTACTGTTGGTTTCCCTCACTGAACTATAATCTTTTTTTTTAAGCATATTTTTTCTTAAGATTTTATTTTCATTTGTGAGAGAGAGCGAGAGAGAGCACAAGCAGGGGGAGCGGCAGGCAGAGGGAGAAGCAGGCTCCTTGTTGAGCAAGCAGCCCAATGCAGGACTCGATCCCAGGGCCCTGGGATCATGACCTGAGCTGAAGGCAGGCACTTAACCGACTGAGTCACTCAGGCATCCCTGAACTATAATCTTCATATAGAAGGACAGGGGTCATTTTTGGTGTTGAAGACCACTGAGCAGTGAATGGAACGTAGTAGATGCTCAACAAATATGTACTAAATCAGTGGTCATCCACCAATTTTCTTTTTAATCACAACAAATTTGAATGTGTAAATTATATAGAAAATTGTAAAGTTTTGCATAGGTTAATAAAAGTTGAATAAATAGATTAAATTTTGTAAAGAAGTACTCCACCCATTAATCTACAGTTTTAACAATTGTAATAAAAATCATAGAGTGGGGGCCCCTGGGTGGCTCAGTTGGTTAAGCGGCTGACTCTTGGTCTCAGCTCAGGTCTTGATCTCAGAGTTGTGAATTCAAGCCCCACGTTGGGATCCACGTTGGGCTCCATGCTGGGCGTGGAGGCTACTTAAAAAACAAAAAAACAAAAGTTGTGTAACCTTAACAAAATGAAGTTTATCTGAAAGAAGAATGCTGATCCAAATAGCCAAGAAACTTCTGAAAAAAAAAATGATGCGACTTTGCTTTACATTAAAATGTATTCATTTATTAAAAGGGTACAGTATTGAAATAATGTGATATTATTGAAGTCAGAATAAGCGGATCATTATAAGGGATTAGTCTAGAAACAACAACAGCAAAATACAGGTTTATTGTAGAAAATTAAAATTTTAAAGATATTAAAAATCTTATCTACTCTCACTAAGTTTGAATTTAAATAATGCAGAGGAAAATTTAGTCATATGGGGAAGTGTTTATATTGTTACATTAAAAGGGCAGGTTACAAAACAGTGTATCTCCTTCCATTCTCACAACCTAATGATAACAATAGTAGCAAACATCTTTTAGCTCCTTCTTTATGCCAGAAACAGTACCAAATATTTGGTATTCTATCTCCTTGTTTAAATTGTCTTGTTTAAATCAAGCACTCGCATGAAGTAGACACTCTCATTGACCCTGTTTTATAAATGAAGAGACCAAAGATTGATGAGGCTAGGTCAGTGGCCAAGAGCTAGTAAGACAACAGGAATTCAAACCCAAGCCGTCTGATTTCAGCATTGTCGCTCTTAATTACATTAATTGCACCAAAATTTTCACATTGGTTCTCAATGTGTGGTAGTATTCTAAATGACTTTTATTTATGTTTTGTGATTTTTCTATATTTTCTAGAATGAACATGAGTTACTCCTGTCACTTTCAAAATATCAGTGTCCATGTAGATGAGATAGTCATCTGTCAGAGCTATCGTCATTGGGTGTAGATAATCTCAAAGATTCCTTTAAAAAAAAAAGTCTAGAAATGGACCCTGGTGACTGTAATGTAAAGGTGGTGTTCAAATTGATAATTTAATAGGTGGCCCTGAGATAACTAAAAAATAGACATTTTCCTCTCTATCTTAGGCCAAAGGGTGTAAACAGTGATAAGATATATATATCATATATGCTGCACCTTTGAATATTTCCAAATATAGGCAAGCATTTTAGATGTCGCTTAGAGTGAAGTCTCCCAATTTTGAAATTCTGTTAGTGAGCTAAAGTATAAATGTAGGTTTATTATTATAGGAGTAAAGTATTGTACTAATTCATGATGATTGTAGTACTACCTTTTTTAAGGCTGAACTATATTCTACTATATGTATATGCCACGATGTATCCATCATCCGTTGAGCTCTTTCTACTGTTTGGTTATTGTTGATAGTGCTTCTATGACGATGCACATACATGTCCTTGTTCGAGTCCCTGTTTTTAGTTCTCTGGGGTATATACCCGGGAATGGAATAGTGGGACTGTATGGTAATTCTATGTTCAACTTTCTGATGAGCCAGTAAACTGATTTCCACAGCGGCCACACCTCTTTGTATCCTCATCAGTAGTGCACAAAGGGCTCTAATTTCTCTACATCCTTGCCAACACTTGTGATTTCCCATTTTTGAAAAAAAATATAGCCATCCTTGTGGGCATGAAGTGGTATCTTATTATGGTTTGATTTGCAGTCTGTAATTAACAGTGATGTAGAACGTCTTTTCATGTACTCAGTGGCCATTTGTGGATCTTCTTTGGAGAATTGCCTATTCCAGTCCTTTGCCCATTTTTTAAAAAAAAAGATTTTTATTCATTTGAGAGAGAGAGAGCACAAACAAGGGGAAAGGCAGAGGGAGATGGAGAGACAGACTCCCCTCTGAGCTGGGAGCTCAGTCCCAGGACCTAGAGATCATGACCCAAGCTGAAGGCAGATGCTTAACCATCTGAGCCACCCAGGCGCCCCTCCTTTACCCATTTTTTAATTTGGTTGTCTTTTTCTTGTTGAAATCAGGAGATATTTATATATTCTGGATACTAGACCCTTAGTATATACTTTTTTTTTTTTTTAAGATTTTATTTTTAAGTAATCTCTATACCCAACATGGTGCTTGAACCTAGAAGCCCAAGATCAAGAGTCACACGTTCCAGCCAACTGAGCCAGCCAGGTGCCCCTGTACTTATCTTTTAACATTAGATCTCCCTGGCTTGACTTTGGTCTCCCCTTTGTGATTTTTTTTTTTAATCTCTAGTAAGTGCTGCCAGGTAGGAGATGTCTAACAAAGTTATCTTAACAACTACTATGTTAATGACTGGTTTTGAGGATATTTGGAAACCATAGAATGTTACATAGCTATAAAGTGGAAGATAGGATGCCCCTTTTAGTGTTTTTTGCTTTGTCCTTAGTTTGGTTTTTTTGGATTTTTCACATGATAATTCATAGTTAGACACCTAAGAGCCATAAATTTAAGGTGAGGAGAATAACCAGGAATGTTTGCTTTGCAGAGTCATCCTTTTTGAACTTCCACGACTCAGACTGCGAACCCAAAGGACCACCACCCTGTGACTCATTACTTTCTCTCAACACTGAAAAGATTCTGGTATGCATCTTCCATACATGCTTTCTGTTTTTATAACCTAGAGCCACAATGATACTGCTTTCAAAAGAAGGAGGTCACCTCTGTTTATCAACTAGGGGTTGATTCCAGTTGGTTCTACTTGCATAAGATAAAGATAGGTCATCTGGTATTTAGTCACATTGAATTATTATGACTTATGAATTGGATGGTTGATCATTCTAGATCTCGTCCATTTTACTTTTAAGTTCCAGTGAATAAAGGGGGAGATCATGGCTGATCCTTATTTCTAGAAACCTCATGTATTTGAAGGTATAATGTATCTTATTTTTCCAGCCTTAGCCAGTGTGGGTATCTTTTATGTTTTTAATTATTGATACCAGCCAAACTGTATGGGAGACCTCTCCACTCCAGGGCTGAGTACCTGGAGCTGGATAACGTGTGTCTCTGCCTACCCATGTTAGCACGTACGCGCCTTCAGTCTCACAGCCTCTGTGAAGCTGAGTGGCTCTTTCAGTGCCCAAGGTTAACATATTTTTTTTCTCCAGGCCTTTTCCTTTAACATCCATGTAGATATTGTTTGCTTCTTTCATTTAAAATTTCCCTTTAGGATAGTCTTTCTTCTCCCAACAAAGCTTTGCCTTTGCATGTAAGAACTACTAAAAATAGGTAGAAATTGCAAGCTAGAAAATGATCAACAGATTTTACCTAATTCACTGCATAGCAGTCAACCTGATATATGGAAAAACTTGAATTAGACTGGTCTCAAACCAGAATGGGCTATCTTGTAAAGTAGTGAGTTGGCCATCACTAAAAACATTTAAGTAGAAATTAGGTGATCCCCACCTTGGATAGGCGATTAGATTCCTAGAATTATTAGGGACAGGAATTCAAATATTTTCTACGTGTTGCTTTTCTAGTTTAAGATGGCACTAGCTAGTAACCTATGGGAGAAAGCTCATCAATCTTGGCCTTTCATTTTCCCTAGGTTGAAAATATGGGAGTCCGACTATTCATTTCTTCATTAATTCTCCAGATATTTATTTTGCGCCTATTATGTGCCAGGCGTTGTGCTAAGTAAGTACTGGGAATACCACAGTGAGCCAGCTAGCCTCAGTCCCTACGCTCGTGACTCCTAGTCACTAACCCGATAATTATGCAAATAAATGTAGAAGTATAGCAAAAGGTCAACATAATCTCCCTTAAGTTAAGAGGAGCAGGTAGAACAGCTTTCAGGAATTGAAACCTAAGCAGGGACCTGACGGATGGGTTGGAGTTAGTCAACCAGAGAAGTGGGGCTGTGTGCATAAACTTCCTTGATCAGAGCTTCTCACTGCTGTCCACAGAGGATATCGATAGATGTGGCATTAGAAGTGGGAAAGATTCTTTCTGATCAGGAAATTAATTTGTTCATACTATACTTTCCTTCTCACTTCTCTCAGGTTTTATTTTTAATAAAATAAAAACAATTAGCTCAGGTATGGTCTTCAGTATACTCTTGATGTTGTTTGGTAAATGATTTCTTTTTATGGGATTTCATTTGTATTCTTTTCCCATATCTTTCTGCACAAAGGTTTGGCAAATGGGAGACTCTCATTGAATACTGGATTTTTTAAGCACTAAAAGCATTATTCATAGACTCCTTTTCTGGGCCCTAAGCAACTTATTAAGCAGATAAATCTTTTGCATCTGTGTGCTGATCTGTGACCGTCTGATAAAGAGGAAAGTCTCGTGTCTGGTCACACCCGGATGTCCATACTGTGATGTCTTCACATATTGTTAAATCTCCCGCTTCTTAAAGCTGTCTCTCGAGGATCCCGCTAAGACTTCCCATAGCTGTGTGGAAGCTCCAGCTATGGAGCAAAATGAGAAGGAGCTGATAGAGTTTCTCTCTAGTCATCAGGGTTTTACTGGAAGAAATTGAGTGTTAAACATTCCCATAGTAGTAGAATTTTCAATGTTTCCTTTTGTCTGGAGTCCTGAATGGAATGAAGTTGAGCATTCATCTCAACATGGGATGCCCTTCTGGCCTATAGCCTTTAACTTGTGTTCTAACTCCAGAGGTAGCTTATTCTTGACCTGCTTTATTTATTTTTAAATTTAAATTCAATTAATTAACATATAGTGTACTATTAGTTTCAGAGGTAGAGCTCAGTGATGCATCAGTTGTGTATAGTTCATCATGTGCCCGGTTACCCCACCCTCCCACCCACCCCTCCTCCAGCAACCCTCAGTTTGTTTCCTACAGTTAAGACTCTCTTATGGTTTACCTCCCTCTCTGATTTCATCTTGACCTGTTTTATAGGCAAACTAAATACTGTGCTGTATCTGAACATCAGTCTAGATTTTGAGAGTATAGGGAGTATAAGTGGAAATGCCTTGTTACTGTTATTTGAGTCCGTGAAGCCCAAGGGTCCACAGTTCATTACTGCTAATGAACACCAATCGTTAGCTGAATAGCACATATAGTAGTTGGAAGAGCGTCTCATGTAAAATGATTTGGCCTATATATATGCTGTAGGCGTCTGTACTATGCATTTTTAAAAAGAGGAACTCAGTTAATTGGGATGTCACTGGGTTCTAATCCTGTGGTTTTGCCAAAAACCACAAATCTTTAGTCTCTCACTATCTTAGGTTTTGCTGTCTCTGCATGCATACAAGTTTTAGTCATGTCTTAGAAGAATCCGGTATGAAGTTATCACTTTAACGTGTACCCTGTAACGAAGTGTATCACAAGTTAGCATCAACGGCTGAACCTTCTGGTGAAGTCACAGCTGTAGTATCAGACATGATTTGTCTCCGAAACACTACAGAGCCGTGACCAGTACTGCCTGTAAAATCACTCCAGTTACTAAGCTAACTTATTTACTTCGTTTTCCCCTGGTTTCCACTCTTGTTTTAGCTTTCCTGCCAAATGTGCATATGTCTGTATAATTTCTTCGTAGGCAGATCTACTGCCTTCAGTAGGAGGGAGATGTTCATCATCTGCTGTGCTTTTTTTCACTAGAATGGCTTGTTTCTTGGTCAGATTTTGTTGGTCCTTTGGTGGCATCATCTCTGTACAACTTGTAGCTCTTATTTCTAAAATATTTTTAGTTTAAAAAACAACATTCTGTCATCCAGCCTCATTGGAGGACTAATGGCTAGAATGTGATCTTCGCAACATGATTGAGGTCATTGAATAGTTTCTGAAAACATGGAGGGAGCATGAAGCAGCCAGCAGGATGAATCCCAGTGGAAGTGAAAAGAAACTTGTTCTTAGAAATAGAACCACTGGGGCGCCTGGGTTTCTTAGTCGGTTAAGCACCTGACTCTTGGTTTCAGCTCAGGTCAGGATCTCAGGGTCATGGGATTGAGCCCTGTTTTCGGGCTCTGCACTCAGCACAGAGTCAGCTTAAGTTTCTCTGTCCCCCCCACCGCACTTCCCCCCACTCGTGCGCTCTCTTTTTCCCTCTCTCAGATAAATGAATAAATCAAAAAAAAGGAAGAAACAAATCCACTAATGATAGGGGAGGAGACAAATCAAGCTATGTGTGTGAAGTACACAATTGGTATTTATTAAAGTGAATCTTTTCTTCCATATAAATCAAGTGGAGCTTTAATTTTTTTTTAAATGCAGGTCTTCATTATAAGCTTTGTCTTCACTTGCGATAAGCTAAAACGTATGTTTGTTTGTTTCTTTTTCAGAGCCAGGCCAAGTCTATTGCAGAACAAAAGAGATTCCCGTTTGCTACGGATAACGACAGCACAAACGAAGAGCTAGGTGAGATCTGAATCTGGGGGAGGGGGTATTCCTGGGGCATTTGCCTAGAATTTATGATTCAGTGCCGAGCAGGTAGCAGGGTGGTGAGGGAGAGAGAACACAGACACTAGCTCTGCCAGTATGAGTGGTGTGATCTTGTGTGGGGCATTCAACCCTTGTGCGGGTCTATGCATTACATGTCAATATAATATGAAATAGAGAAAATACAAGGTCTGGAGAGAATGATCTGTAAGAACTTCTGTTTCTCTGGAAATTAACAATTATGGTAACGAGTCCTTAGGAGTGCTTATCATTCATTAAAGGTAATTGGTGCTGTCATCGAATAGGAACAACACAGAAGTGAAAGCAGAGGAGACTCACACCTACTGTAATCTTCTGTGTAATAAAATAGCTTGGTGTCAGTTAATTTTACCGTGAGGCCTGTCAGTTCCTGTTGGGTCTAAGAATGTGGGTGTGGAAAGGTTAAGTTCATTCATATCTGCAGAGGGGTCTTGCAGTTTGGCTTGTTGGGGGCCTGTTTTCAAATAGGCTGGTTCCTCCAGGGTGTGATATGCTCATTGTCGAGTCAGCTTGCTGTTGAAGGAATGGAAACAAAATTGAATACAGGCCTGAACAGGGCAGCTGGACAGACTTCACAGAAGCATATGCTCCTGCCTGGTGCCTGGTGGCCTGAAGCGCCTTTGGAAATTTTTTCTATCTAATTTTTATATAATTATTTTATCCTTTCTGTGGCCATGTGCATTTTATATTAAGATGGAATACCTCGGGGCGCCTGGCTGACTTGGTAGATCTTGCGACTCTTGATCTTGGGGTCATGAGTTCAAGCCCCACACTGGGCCTAGAGCTTACTTAAAAAAACAAAAAACTGAACACTTCTTGTATTGGCTCCTTTGCTCTGTTAGTGCAGATAATTAAAAGCTGACTATTTTGAAAGTATTAATTACTTTTTGGTGATATTCTTTGAGTAGGGTTTGAGAATTAATTACCTGTTAAGAAATCAGATTTGGTCTTTTCTGAGGTTCTTGGGTTCTGGTCAGCCCCATATTCATTTATTAAGTCAGGAATTAAGGGCCCCGGGATGTGCCAGGCTTGTTCTGTGCTCTAAGACTAATCCTACTAGACCTCTAGGCCCTGAGCTGGCTTAGGATCCTTCATATCACAGTATTTTTTCCTTGGAAGAGCAGCTTCTGTCAACATAGGCGTTGCCAGGAGATGTGGAATTGTTGGATAGTAATGATTTCTGTGGGAATTCCAGTGTTTTCTCTATGTCTTTGGACTGCCACAACAAAATTTAGATCCTAATAGTTATTTATAGTTTTGCAAGATTTGGATTTTTTTTTTAATGGGTACTTTTGGGTTTTTCTCAAAAAAGTGTTTACTTTTAGATAGAAAGATTTGAAAGCTGCATTTGATTTTATTTAAGTGGAGTTCAACAGCCTAGCTTTGGAGAACAATTTAAACATGTTCCTAAGTACAGTAATATTTATCCCCTAAAACTGTATTCGTTTTTATGGGTCACTTACTCATTTGTTCATTCAGTAGATATTTACTGGTTATGTGGAGAGAGATAGGAAATTCTAAAACGTTAGATCTGAAAGGAATGTTAGAAGATCTTCTACAGGCTTGTTAAGCAAGACCCAGAAGTAGTGAGAAGTGGCTGATCACACTGCTGGTGCGTGGCAGAGCCAGAACCCTAGCCCAGATCTTGGCTTTCTGATATATCGCCATCTTCCTGCCTTCAAAGAAGGACACGTTTACATTTCCATTCCTGTTCATGTAATCATTCAGAAATTCAAACCATTTTTGCAGTCTAGCCCAGTACACAGCAGTTTCAGTACGGCCTTGATTTATTTCAGGGGAGTGTGTTAGGGTGGGTCCCAGAGCAGGCAGCCTGGGTTCTTTGTCTCACCCCACATTGTCTTCGGACAGTTTGTTCGACTGCACTATGCTTCATCTCCTTGTCTTTGAATGGGGATAATAACTGTACCTGTCTCATCGTGATCAAGGAGCAAATGAGTTAATACGTGGAAATGTACAGAGTGCCACGCACATACCTGTCACTGTTATTTTTACTGCTAATATTCCTGGCCCCCCAAGGGTGTCTGTGCTTATCTTGTTATCTGATGCATCTGAATGGTACCCCTTCTTATTATTTCAAATATGAGTTTGACCTTAATTTATCTTTTCAAAGAAATTACGACAAAAACAGCCCTCTTTATCTTGAAGAATGCCCCCAAAGCTGTTGTCTTATTATGACGTTCAGTGCTTTTGAAGTTTACTTTTCTCAGGTTAGTTATGGGGACACTCTAAGTCTCCTTCTGCATTGAATGTTTTTACTACTTTTAACTCTCAGGAAATTTCAGCTCTTCACGCCAGTAAAAGTTTTAGTTATCTGTCTCCTTGAACACCTCTTAGGTTCTAGGATTGGAGCATTGCGATAAAGCTTTTTTGTGAAGAAATGTGATCAAAATAGTATTGTGTTGAGTGAGGAATACAATTTTTTCAGGGATATCTGAGGATTTAGGGAGTTAGGGCAAATTTTATAGATGAAATATAATGTAGACTATCAATAATGTAATGTAATATAGATGAAATGCAAGCTAGACTATCAATAATTTATTGCATTTTGGACAGGTGAAAAAATTTAGTCCACATATTGCTGTGTATTAAGAGGTTGTCATGGATCTAATTACAAAATACCAATTACTGACACAATTTGATCAGAAACTATGTATGCATCTTTAGTGTATATATTGGGTAGTGTTTTGACTGTATTTTGAACAGAAGAGGTAGGAAAAAGACCACTGCTGCGTTGTGCTGGTGTGAATTAAACATTCTCTTAATATGTATTAATTTGAGCCTCTGCTTTTGTTCTTACTCAGTAACTGGCAGTAAGTTCAGCACCCCCTAGGGATTGAGATCTGTGAGGCTATTTGGTATTTCTCATAACTTTCACAGTAAAATCACATTGCCATGTTATGTGGTCTTTATTCAGGCTCATTACTAGCTCTTCTGATGTATCGATAGGAAATATCATAAAGGTTATTTGTATTTGAAAGTGAGTGATGGGCCTAGAAAAAGATAATTACTTCTTGTAGGTGATGTTTTATAGATGGCTTTAATAATTTAAATCTTGAGAGCACTGGAAGACTGATAGCAGGTGCCGAGTGGTGGAAGAATTCAAGTACCTCTTATTAACTTCCAGGTTTTCTTTAATTGCTTCTGGTCCTTGGAGCTGCCTGTTAGGACTCAGCAAAGAATTTAGTTACTGATTCTACTCAGAGATCCTTCATTCTTTCCTGTAATATTTATGTATTTTGTTTCATAGCTATTGCTTATGTGTTGATTGGCAGTGGACTCTATGATGAAGCGATAAGACATTTTTCGACAATGCTTCAGGTAATTTTTCCTCTTAATTATGAAATTTCAAGTTGATAGTCGTGACAAAAATATGGACTTATGCGTAGCTAAAGTACTGCAAGAATACATTGCTTTTAGGATCATATGAAAAGGTAAAGGAGATTAGCCCCAACTGAGCATTTTCTTGGTGCAGGCCTTGAAAAAATGCTCTCATTTAATCTTTGCAGTATTAACTTTATTTTAAATGAGGAAAATGAGATCAAAGGAGGTAAAGCAATTTGCTCACAGTCTCCCCACCATCAGCTGAAAGACATGGGACTCAAATGCAGTTTAAAAGAAAAAAAACGAAAACTAGCTTAGTTCACTTTCCTCTTTACTGCGCTATCTCCCATAAGATGTGGATGCTGGAAATTCTTGGACGTCCATATGTTTACTTTCCGTGCTGGAGCTGATCTGCATGGTTCCACTCGTGGATTTGTTTCTCACCGCAAAGTGTAATTGTGGGACTCTTCAGTGGAAGTACTGAACCTTTTCTGATTGATGGCTGCATTAAAATCTGGTTAAGATAAAAGGCTTGAACAAACGTTGAAGAGTTGCAAGGGAGACCTGTAATGCAGCCTAATATTGTTGGCCTTATATATCTTATCTTTTTTTTTTTAAGATTTTATTTATTTATTTGACAGAGAGAGACACAGCAAGAGAGAGAACACAAGCAGGGGGAGTGGGAGAGGGAGAAGCAGGCTTCCCGCTGAGCAGGGAGCCCGATGCGGGGCTCGATCCCAGGACCCTGGGACCACGACCTGAGCCGAAGGCAGACGCTTAGTGACTGAGCCACCCAGGCGCCCCTCCCTTATCTTTATTTAACTGTGTTCTTATGGTGCTGACCATTATCTATAGATTGTCGATGTGGCTGTGCAGTAGACTACAGTGAAGAAATGTGGTCTTTAGAGTTGAAGATACCCATGTTCTAATCCCCTTTGCTGCTTGCTAGCAAGTTATTTTATTTCCTGGCTCCTGGAGATAATAACCATAACCTCCAAAATTATTCTTGTTAGGTTTAAATGAAATATTCTAGAAAGTCCTTAGTACCCAGTACCTGGCATAGTGAGTGCTCAGTTAATTTTAGCTCCTCAAAGCACCATTCTAGCATATTCCTATTCATAGAACAAACAGATAATTTACAATCCAGCAAGTACACTTTGTTTTAAAATATTAATTTTGAAATTCTTGTTCTACTTTTTTTTCTTCTTTAAGCATCAAATTAATTATATTGACAATTCTGTCTTCATTCTCAAAAAAAATCATGGAGATCGTTTTAGTGATTACTTTAAAGTCCCCAGATCCGAACAGTTGTGTGTTTGAGTGCTTGTATGGGATGACAATCTTCAGTGGTGTTTACACTATGAAGGGTAGATTATTAGTAGTTTTACAAATTGCCTTTCTGGTAGGCATTGCAGTATTTAAAAAGGTAAGCAAGCACTTCACACAATTAACACTTGGCCCTGGTTTGAAAGGGAGGTTTTGGTACATTTATGGGAGAAATGTTGGTTAATCTATGGTAACTAATAGCAGAAAACAGTGAGAGTTTGTGGATATATCAATGCATTCAACTTTTTGAAAAATATCGTTGTAGTTGAAGGCAGTATAACTATGTTAAAGAAAGCACTCTAAATAATAAAAAATTTCCTAATTCTGCCACTCTACCATTTTTGAAGTTTTTTGCTTACGACCTTTTCAAAGTATGCATTTGTGTTTTATAATCTGAATATCTCTACTATTTTGCATTACCTTTTCACTGAATTTTATACTGTAAATGTTTTTCAGTATTTCTCTAATCTTACACTTTTAATGGCTCTATACTATTGCTTGTGTTGTCCATTTATCGTTGTAAAACTTCTTTCTCTCACAACTGCATTCAGAAAGTAGGTCAAAATTTCTCTCTTTGTGCCAAGAAGAGGTCTTAATACTGAAATTTGATAGAGCATGTTCATCAATCTGCAATACAATGGGTTGCTTTCAAGTGAGAAATTTTTCTCTGAGAATGTGCAGTTTATAAGGTGGGACTCCTTTTCTGCTGATTCAGGCTGTTGATGGGGTAGGAACAGGATGGGGAGCAGCAGAAGTTCAAATACTCCTGGCCCAAAGAAGACAGAACTGGGCGACCATTTATAACGTATTTTTATAAAGGAATAAGAGTGGCTTTGGCTTTCCTGCTGGTGCTTTTCTTGGTGATTTCTGTCTTTTCTCCCTTTATTTTGGTGCTTCCCAGCCTTTTCCACATCATGACACAGGTTGAAAATCCTGTTTGCATGACCCACAGGAGTAAACAGGAGCAAATTTAGAGGCATCCGGATGGAGCTTGGTGAAAATGTGTCACATTTTCTTCGTGTTACATAACTATGATAAATACAGAATGTAAAGATTGATTAAAAAAATGGTAACATTCTTTAAAAAAATTTTTTTTAATTTTTTAGATTTTTATTTATTTGAGAGAGAAAGCACAAGCAGGGGGAAGGGCAGAGGGAGAGGGAGACGCAGACTCCCTGCTGAGCAAGGGCTTGATCCCAGGACCCTGGGATCATGACCTGAGCCAAAGGCAGATGCTTAACCGACTGAGCCACCCAGGTGCCCCTGTTCAAAAATTTTAATAAGAAACTCAGTCCTGCTTTTCCAGATGAAACTTTTCCACATTAGGCTTTATATTTGAAAGTGATGCACATGATTCCTATTTAAGAGCTTTTCATTGTTTTCTTCAAATTCTTGATAGCCAATCTCATCAAGAAACTGCACAGGTAGGGGGTAGCAAGCAAGTATTCGAAGAAGAGTTAGTGCTTTTTCCCCAATTGACCAAAACTTCTTTTCATATCATGAATCAGAATTTGCAGAAGTCAGCCTCTTCAAATTGTATTTTAAAAGCACGATCCTTTAAATCTAACTGCTCTTCCTTTTCTTTTACTGGCAAATGCAGTGGAACTGTTTCTTGCGGTAATGACATTGGTTTTTGTCCCAGCAATGCTTTTGCATGGCCCGGGTTCAGGAGGGCGGTTTGCTCAGCCCTGCTGCGCAGATGCCGCCCCACCGCCCTTCCCTCTTCCCACTAGGACTGGCCTGAGTATCGCCGCAGAGCCTGCCGCTGGGTGTCCACCTGTTCCTTGCAGGGCCCGCCACACCTGCAGAAACTCTGCGTCTGCCCAACGGCCTCTAGCAACTCTGTGGTGGCAGCTCCTGGCACACAAACTTTTCAGGGTTTCTGAATTCATGAACGCTTGACAAAACTTTTCTTTTGGACAGCCCGGGAGCTCCAGTATACAGTAGCAGAGTGTGGACTCTGGTTCCATTCATAGGAAGCTGAAAACAAATGGGACCATGAGAGCTTGGATTGTATCAGAGTCACCATTTCTATAACGTCGTTTAATGTGACATTGGGATCTGTGCATGAGGGCTACTTACATTTCAGAATGACCTTTTGATATAAAGCTCTGAAACCTTCCTTTTGTCTTAGTTGTACCACGAGGAATGAACTTAGACGATATTTCCACAGTCTCTGTTGTTGTGAGCTGTGTGTTTGAGTAGTTATTGAACTACGGGATATTTGGTACATCTATAAAAGAAAAAAAAATGCTCCTCAGGGTTTCTAACTGAACACAGTTTCAAAACTTAATAGATCTGTCAGACTGCATTGAAAACTCTTGATTTAAAAGCTTGTGCATTCGTGTTGTCTCTGCATACGTGTTCCTCCTGTGTCAGTGCATCAGTTGACAGTACTCTGGGAAAGTGGAACCATTCACCAGGTGCCATGCTTCTTTGGTCCCCATGCAGGGCTCAGTAACATAAGTGCTGCAAAAATCGAATGAGGCCTTTGTTATTAATTGTGTGACCTTGAGCTCATCTGATTCAGGGAGAACTGAATTCATAAAAATATTTGTTTCTTATTTTACGTTAGCAGTCAAAATATAAAACATGCCCCTGCATATGATTTGTAAACATCCTTCTTGTAATTAGGTACGTGGGTCTTCCACTTGGGCAAAACTGAATCCTCATTACGTTGCCGTGCAGTGACTTTTTTGACTTAGTCTTCGATTCAGTGACTTTTGAATTTTAATCAAAAAGCCAGTCTTGGTGGTGGGAAAAATAAATATTTGTAAAATTTAAAGTCACTATATAAATGGTATAATGAGGATAGTAAATTAGACCTTTTTGGATGTAAAAAATCAGTGTCTTGGGAATTGAGACATCTAAGTGTACATGACTCTGGTAAGATAACTGTCTTATTATACCATGATTTTGCTTTTGCATTTGCATAAAATAAGTAATATTGGAAGATTGAAATATTAGTTTGCATTTAAATCATTTAAAATTCTGAACACTTGATAAAATGTAAATATTATTAGACTTATATACTCAAAAATATTTTGAAAAATGGATATTCCGAGCCCAATTGCTTTTAGAAATGAACATTGGCTTTTATTTGAAAATATAATTCATCATGACATTTTGTAAAGAGTTTTGATTTCTTGTTAACATCCAAAGGTGGTGATGGATAAAATAAAATAATAAAGCTGTATCAATCAAGAAAAGTAATAAAATCCATCATTTACATTTAGGAACCCTTAATACTAGATTATAACTGAGATAACAACCACAGTGATCCTTTGCAGATTCACCTATTTAGGTTTTCTGTATTTAATTTATTCTTTCTTTTTAGATTTTTTTTTTCAACAGCACAGAAGGATGTATCATTACCGTTGTTAAATAACAGATTTTATTTCTTTTCTTGATTCGTACAACTTGTTATCTGTCACTGGCAGAATGGAAAGTCACTGCTGTGGTCATGATGAGACCACGTGGGGGATCTGGAGGGAGGGCTGGGGAGGCCACTGGTAGGGCCACGGTAGGATCTCTGCCAGTGGAGGCCGCACATGAAATCCTCAGAGCCAAAATGATGATGGCTAAATGCAGGAAGTTGTCAGTGTTCAGATATTTTAACTGTTGCAAAGTTTTGAATGGCTGTTTCTTAAAGGTTTAACATTTTTTATTGCTATAAACACACGTAAATTCCCACGTGAAGCCAGTCCTGTGGCACATCCGTCATACAGCTTTGCCTTATGGAACCCCGGATCTGGCTTTTTACCAACGACTACGCCATTGTTTCCGCCCAGGTGGTCCACTTGCTTCCCCTATGAGAAGAACAGGCCCGGCTGAGCTGACCTCGATCTGACAGTCTTTAACATGCATTGAGATCTTCGCTGCCTAGGAAATGGCCAGTGTTTGTGGCTAACTAATAACTGTTATATATTAAGACTTATGTGTCAGGCACTGTGCTAGAGGCCACAGAGCCAAACATGACAAGACATTCCCTTGATATTGTGTGCCCATGGGTGACAAATGTGCAAATGCAAAATAATGAATAATGAGAGAATTACTTTAATGGAATTATATCCATTAAGAGGTTCCAACTTGACCCCATGCTCTCCCCGGATCCCTCCACATACCCTGACCCATAACTGAGGAAGGATCCCTAGTCGTGTTCTAGTGTTGTCCAGGTCAGTGGGTGGCACCCTCTCCACGGGATGACATGAGTCCACCTGCTGCACACATCTGTGCGCTACTTCCTTCAGCAATGACTCTATCTGGATGCCTCCCAAGTACCTCTGGCGTCCCTCTGCTGTTCCTGGCTCTGTTCAAACCACAGCCAAGCCACTATTACCTGCCAGATGACTGGCACATCCATGATTTCCTGGCTTATCACTTCATACCCTCCACACACACATGCACGCCATCCATGCATGTGCCCTTTAAACACACACATACTTCGCTGTTGCTTTTAAGTTAAAGACTAAAATCCTTAGTAAGGTCCCTGCCTACCTCTCCAGCCTTATCTTGGAGCAGATGCTATAATCCCTGCTTGCCTTGAGGCCTCCTCTGCCTGGACCACCTGCTCTGACATTCCCTCACCCCCTGACACAGTTCAGCCCAGGTACTTCTTCCTCAGGGAAACCTTCCTGACTGTGTCTAATCTTTATGCATTTTCCAAAAAGCACCATTTACTATTATAGCACTTACTGAAGGTGTAACTTTACATTTATATTTGTGATTCTTTGGCTAGGCAACAAGAGTCTTGCCTTCTGTCTTGTTTTTGCTTACTACAGTATTTCTAGCACATGGAACCGGACATGGCTAATAGCGGGCCCTGAGTAAATATTTGTTGACTGAGTGACTAATGTCCATACAACATATAGTAGGAACCGAGGCCTATTTATTTTCCAGGGGAGTCTGGAAGGAGTCAGAGGAGAGGTAGTGTTTGAGCTGAGGCAGTGGGTGGGCGTTCCAGGCAGGTGGGCTAGCATTTGCAATGTGCTGAACTTGTGTCTAGAGAACTGAAGTAGTGCTGATTTCTGGAGTATGAATTATGGGTGTAGAGTGGAAGGAGATGAGACTTCAACAGTAAGGCAGGAAAATGATCAATATTTTCTACAAAAGCATTTAGATGTTACCTCATTGTTTTTCCATTTGTGAGTTGCACCCTTTTAGTAGGGACTGAAATTGATTGGCAAGTGAAGACTAGCACATTTTTTTTTTTTTTTAAGATTTTGTTTATTTGACAGAGAGACACAGCGAGAGACGGAACACAAGCAGGGGGAGTGGGAGAGGGAGAAGCAGGCTTCCTGCTAAGCAGGGAGCCCGAGGTGGGGCTCGATCCCAGGGCATGACCTAAGCCGAAGGCAGACGCTTAAGGACTGAGCCACCCAGGCGCCCCAAGGAAAAAGTGAAATACACTAGAATGGAAAATATGTTGCATTGTAAATAGTAAGACTAGGTTTGACTTAGTGCAACTTTTATTTCTGATGCGTGTATGTGTGTGTGTGCGGGCATGTTATGTACGTATGTATGTGTGTACTGGGTTAGAATGTAAAGTGCATTTTACCATGGGTTAGAGTAAAAATGTGTTTGAATGGGGCTGTGGGAGGTGTTGCAGAGCCAAGGAATAATTTCAGCCAGAGTGACATGATCAGATTTCGTTGTTAGGTAACTCTTAGTGTGGGTCGCAGACTAGATGGGAGGAACGGAACGTGGTTAAACTGGCTGCAGTATTGTAAGTGAGTGGGGGAGGTGTCCAACAGGGCAGTGGCTGGTGCACTGGGTGGGGCGGGGGGAAGCGGGGGGTGGACCGTGTATTCAGGAGGGGAGACTGCTGGGATTTCCTGAGTAGGCGTGGTGGTGGGGAGATGAGGATGACCCCCCGGGTGGCTGGCCCTGGCCACAGGGTGTATGGGGATGCCACTTCAGTAGAAGAACTACTTATTTAAGTACACCTTTTTCTGATTTACTCCTTGGTCATCATAATTTTTTTTTTTTTTTTTCAGTTTTAGGAGGAAAGCATCTTAGGTAGTCTATTTGGAGATGTTACAAATCAGAGTAGGTGTTCCTCTCACTGGAGAATGTCCTCACAGGGGAAGAGCCGGGCAGGCTCTCTGCCCCCTACCCCAGCCTGGACGAAGGGCTGTTCTGTGGACTCTTCTGTGTCCGGGCAGGTGCTGTTGACGATGGAAACACACAGAGTCAGTCTTCATTTTATTTCTTCCTCGGGTCACTGATTTTCCTGCTCCTCCTCCCCTTCCGTACCTGTATCCCTCCGCCTCCAAATGACTTGCTCTGCCTTTTTTTTTTTTCCAAGCCAGGAAGGATATTTAAACGTTTAAACTATTATCTTCGCATGGCAGGGTGATAGGGTACCCTTTACTTTCTTTTTTGTGCTTTTCTTCATTTTCTAAATTTTCCATAATTTATAATAAATATTCCAACTACTTATTTGAATAAAGTTTCATATTTATACTAAAAATTTTTCTGTAATGCATATTACTTAAAACATCTTTTTTCTGACTACAAATGTATACATATTTATTTTAAGCCATGAAAAGGAATACAGCAGTGTAGTAAGTACAATGGGAACGTATCTAGTAATCTCACTCCCAACAGAAAATTACTGTTAGTATTTTGGTGCGCTTTATTCTGTGTACATACTGACCCACACAATTATATATAAATATTTATATTTAATTAAATTAAATTTTATAAATAAAAGTAATTGCCATTCCTTTGTAGTTCTATTAACTTTTTTTCCATTTAGCGAATGGCGTGGAGCCTTTCATGCCAGTCACGTGTAAGTTATAAATCACAACTCCAAAGAGAACTGTGTGGAGCCAGGGAAGTGACTTAAATGAGCAAAGTGCATTGCTGTGACCTAGAGGTGATGGGTGGGCTTCCGGTAAACTGATGAATATACACCCCTCATCTAAAGAAGTGGCCAGTACTTAGCTCTAGTTTTTTTTTTTTCGTGTAAGAATGCAAAAATGTAGGCTTATCTTTGTTGCATTTTTTAGAAAGATTTTATTTATTTATTTGACAGAGAGAGAGAGAGCATAAGCAGGGGGAGTGTCAGGGAGAGGGAGAGGGAGAAGCAGACTCCTTGATGAGCAGGGAGCCCGATGATGCGGGGCTCGATCCCAGGACCCTGGAATCATGACCTGAGCTGAAGACAGACGCTTAGCAACTGAGCCACCCAGGCGCCCGCATGTTTTGATTTTTCAAGGGAAGTTAGAGATCTGGAATTGCTTACTTGAATTTTTCCAATTTTTGTACACCTTGGGCTGGTCTGCTGGCTGGGCTGGGGCCGGTGATGCATCAGTTTGCTGCTTGATACAGGTGTACTGGATTCTGTTTAGTCTTTTGTTTTCCAGTATACGGCATCTTCTCCTTTATTCTTTCTCACTCACTCATTGTTGAGGTTGATGTGTCTTTTTCTTACAATATGGGCAGACTCCCCCTCAGATTTGAAACTGAACGGTAGATTAGTCTATAAAATGCCTTGTCTGGTACTGTTCTGTTAGATTCTCTATCTCTTTTTTTAAGATTTTATTTATTTTTGCGCACGCGCGCGAGAGAGAATGAGCAGGGGGAGGAGCAGAGGGAGAGGGAGAAGCAGGCTCCCCGCTGAGCAGGGAGCCCGATATGGGACTCAGTCCCAGGACTCTGGGATCACGACCTGAGCCGAAGGCAGGCGTTTCATTGACTGAGCCACCCAGGCGCCCCTGTTCTGATAGATTCTTTAGCAATGTCAAGAGTTTCACCCCCAAACATATAGCCAGAGGCTGTTTACTCTTCTTAAATGTAGGGGAAGGATTCAGAGAAGTGGTAGAAATTGCAGAGGCTAAATGTAGAAGAGAGGCATTTCCCTCACGAGGTGGGCCGGTTCATACCACCTGTTTGGGGAGGTGATGGTGGGGCAGCGGACCCCCGTCCTTGGGCCCAAGGGTGGCTTTATCTAGTCCATCTGGGGCAGCTTGCAGAAAGGGTCTGGTTCCTATTTGGACACACAGTATAAAGGACTGCATTAACCCCAGCAGACTGTGGAGTGGACTCATTTCTTGTTGCTCAATGGGGCTGGCACTGAGAGGTTCTTCCCTTTTCAGATTATTTCATGACTGTGAGGGGAACAAACCAGGAAGAGGCACTACCTAGTGCTTCACTCCTAACCGTTTACTTCCCTGAGCCTCCATTTCCCTCTGTGAGACATGATCACGGATGCTGCTGGTCATAAGCGTTTTTGAGAGGATTGCATTTCAAATGAGATGACCATGTGACAGAAACTAGCACAGGGCTCCCTAATGTTGGTTCTCTTTATTATTTTTTTAATGCAAAACTCTTACTATGTGTCTCATGCAAACGAGCTTCAAGAACACAGGCTCTTCTGGTTGGGATTGCGCGTATCCACGTATGTGTGGTGGTAGCATGAAGTAGAGCTTGTCACTTGGGGCATTAACGTGCTTTAAGCAGAAACTGATTTTTTTGTTTTGTTTTGTTTATAGTTTTTGACGTGTTTCTGTTTTGGTCTGACTAGGAGGAGCCTGATCTGGTTAGTGCAATTTATGGCCGAGGGATAGCCTATGGAAAGAAGGGACTACATGTGAGTATGGAATAGCTCTGCTTGCCATAGTGCCTACATGACACGACCCGGACCAGGGTTCCGAGAGAACCACTCCCTGTTCATTGAGCTCTGATGGACACGCAGTGGTATCACGCCAGTTCCCAGATGCGAAAATGGAAGGAGAGAATTTACTCGTGATCACATGGCTAGGAAGGGTGGGGTGGACTGGGAATCTCTACCCAGGGCTTCTGGAAGTCAGTCTCACCACACTTTCTACTCCAGAAGGACAGCCTTTGCCAGCCTAAACTTTATTTGGTGATGAGCTGGACATAGACCAAGGAAAGCATGAGACCTTGACTGAATTCCTAAGAAATATTCGTTGGTAAAAGTGGAGTCTAGGTATCCATAGCGCAGTAAGACTTAGATTTTGTTTCTTTCACAATTTTTTAAAGATTGAATAGAAGAACCAAAGGGTTTTTTTTTTTTTGGTAAAATTTATTTTTATTTGTTATCATATATTATATTTTCCCCAGATAAGTATATTGTTGTAGCCCTAGTCCCCTTATTTCTCTGGGGAATGCAGAGGGAAGGTTATAATAAATTTATTTTATTTTTAAAAAGATTTTATTTATTTACTTGAGAAAGAGAGACCACAAGTGGGAGGAGGGGCAGAGGGAGAAGCAGACTCCCCGCTGAGCCGGGAGCCTGATGCAGGACTTGATCCCACGACCCGGGGTTCATGACCTGAGCCGAAGGTAGACATGCAACTGACTGAGCCACCCAGGTGTCCCGATATAATAAATATATTTTACTCAATGAAGGCACCATGGCATAAAAATGAAGATTTTCCTGAGATTATATAGTAAATAACGAAATAGTTTAAGATTCAGATCTCCATATTTTCAGTCTAGAACATTATACATGAACTTTTCTGTTGTCTTATTGTATATTAGAAATATTCAAATAAAATGATGATTGATGGAGAAACATCACTTTTGTGTCTTTGCCAATTTAGAAAATTGTACTAATCGGGTGCTGGCCTATTGGAGAAATTTATATACTATTCGTATACTTCTGAGACATAGAGGACTGAGAGCAAGCTCAGATTTGGGGATGACAGAGGTGTTAGGAAGGAAACAGTATTACGTGAGAGCATCAGTAAATGACAGCAGTTGCCCTAGTGAAGGTCAGAGATAAGTTTCTTCCTAATTCTCATCTCTAATATTATATCTTGACATGAAATTTGCTTGTATCTTTAATGTGTTTTTAATGTAAAAATAACATGCTCATATTTTTAATATAAGAATAACATGCAGATTTTGAAGAGAACTTACCTAGACTTGCTAAGGTGTAGGTGTGTGGGCTTAAGGGGTTCTGACTGACACTGACTCGGCCCTTTGCTGTCCCCACACTGCCACTGGTCAGCATCATTCTGCATGCTGGTGTCCATCCACATCCTCATCCCTCGAAATTCATTGATTCGGTATTTAAATAGGTTAAATTTAGAAAATGTCCTACCATCAGTGGAACTGGTGATATATAGCCAGGTCTAAGGGGCTGTTGATGGGCAGGTAGACTTGAGTGAGTTAAATAATTATAACTTATTTAAACCAGCAGATCTTTTGTAGAGAAGCGAGGTTCATATTTATTTCTAAATACGTAGTTACATCATTACTAAATTAGCTTTTTCAGAAAAACTGTTCAACCTGGTTTTGAGTAACAGTGTATCTCATACTGAGCTAATGCCTTTTCAAGGACATTAAGAATGCTGAGCTTGCTCTGTTCGAACTGAGCCGAGTAATTACCTTGGAACCAGATCATCCAGAGGTATTTGAACAGCGAGCAGAAGTGAGTGTGGTTTTCTTTCTCCCTCTGTCATTACTGGACTTTTTTTTTTTCCTATTATCTCATTACTTGTAAATTTTAAAGCTCCCTGATACCTATTGTGTTTTCCTCCATAGGTACTGAATGCCTTTAAACATGGTTGAAATTACCAGAAAACTGTGGGCTGAGTGATACTCCTGATTTAACATTTAATAGTAATATTTAGTATTAAAATATGTGGTTATGACACGTACTGCTGTCAGTGTTCATTAAAATATATCACACATCATGTTTACTGTATATATTACATACTTTAGCAAAACTCTATGACAATATGGTCAGAATGAAATTTATAACCATTAAAAGTGTGTGCGTATGTGTGCGTGCGCATGCGCGCGTGTGTGTACGCTTATATATTTGTGAGATGTACTTATCTACATAGAGACATAGATCATGTAAGGATGACCACAACCAGTCCTTGGAGGAACTTAGGACTTGTGGAGACAGAGGTAACGTGGTGAAAATCCCAGGTAATATTTGTGTCAGGAGACACTAAGAGGAGGTGCTTCTTCAGGAACAGGAAGGCGTGCCTGTGGGGGCTCTGGGGGAGGCTGGCAGGGGCAGGTGTGGGCGTGTCTGCGGATGCCTCGCGGAACAGGTGCCGCTACAGCCAGTTGGAGCCCACGTCTTGGGGGACAAGGTGGAGAATGGTGTGTGGAGACGCATTCCTTTTAACGTTTTTAAATGAAACGTGTTCATCTTATCGTTTGCATAATATAATAGTAAACTACCCGGATTTCATTTTACTGTTCATTTAACCATATTAAATGCTTTAGAATTTGTTAATGTATTCAATCTGGAGAAAACTTAACTTTTAATCATCTGACATAATGGGATTTCATAGTTCAACTAAAAGAAAATGACTTTCCCCCCTTTTTGGGGGGAGAAAACTTAGAAGTAAAGAAAACACTAAATGTTATAGTAATTTAAAAACTGTATTTGTGGTGTTTGTATTCTCAAAATTATAGTCTCTAAGGTTATAGTTCAGTTTCTTAAAGGGAATTTTATGTTTTATTGGGAATTTGGGTTTCTGAATAAAAATTTTTCTCAATTAATGATACAGTTCATTATCACTTATCTATTTTGGATTGCAACCATAAGGGTTAAGTGACTGTAAGTTGTTTGTTACTGCACGAGAACCTTGTTGGTATTTAGGGTGAGCATTTGGTGGCCAATTTGGTGATATCTGCTCTGGGGAGGGGTGCTGATGCTTTTTCCCTCCATTACTCTGATGTTAAATGTTATGTTAAAGCAAGAACTTAAGTGTACATAGAAAGAAGACTTATTTAGCAGCTTTAGAAGATTTGTGTATCTAATAAAAAGCTAGTGGTGTACCCAAAAATGATATTGGTAATCCAAAGAGTAATTTTTGATGATCTTAAATATATACATATATATATATATATAAAATATTCCCCTTTTCTGGCCCTATTGGGCAGTAATATCACTGCAAACTGATTTTTCCAGCTTATTATAGCATATCATTTATATATGTCAGAAATTATTTAATGAGAGATCTTTCTCTTTCATACTTGCTGAAATAGTCTATATTTAATGAACACAATTTAACCTTTTTTAGTTACTCAGGTAATTATTATTGCGCTGGGGTGTGATGATTCAATTATGTACCGAGGGGTTAATAAACTAGGTAGGGGTGTTCTTCCTTCCAAAATATAACCCCAGACTGCTATGCATTTTGAATTCTCAGGTATATATTACTTAATTCATTTGTTTCCTTTTTCTGAGCTGCCATTCTTGCCACTGGTGATGTGCCTGCCTGAATCCTCTCTCTTTTGCTCGTTTTAAGTTCCTGCAGAGTAGGAAACCACATAGTAGAACCTGATGGAAATGACCTATATCATGAGAACAAAATTAACCCTAACTTCAGGACATTTGCTCAGGGTGAAATGCTTGAGCTTGATTGCATGAGTACTGATACCCGTTTTGGATTTTCTTATGTCTTTTTGGTGTACTTTTGCATTCTGAACTGTTTTCTGTGTTGTCATTTTCACCTGCACAAGCTCATTGCTGGATCACAAGGGCTTTCCAAACAAGCTTGCAGACATAGGTTCTTCTGCTCTGTAGATCGTGACTGATGAGCTGAGAGTTAACACAAAGGGGCTCATGAGACACCTGGATTCTTAGAGATTGTCAGCCAGCACTTACTACCACAGAGGACATAGCTAAAGGCCATGGAGGACTCTAATCTGTGTCCAACAATTTCTCTATTTTTAATGGTTCAAAGTTATCTTTCAGATTAACTTTGAAATACTAAATTTTGTTTTGAAAGAGGTTGAGAAAAAAAATGGTCCCATTTCAAGAAAAGCAACATCTGTTGTAACCCAGACGTGAAACCGTGACAAAGTAATTGATGTGGTTATAGTTCATCAGCGTCCCCCTCAGCTAGACAAAGACTAGCGGCCCCTTGGCCTGTTGACTTTGAACCTCACTATGTAGTATATGGGGTCAGGGATCCTTGTCCACCAAAAAAGTAATCTTGTGAGTGGAGTGTGGTAAAGTGGAATTGAAAAGTCAAAAACGTTGGCAGTTTTGGGGTTGATCACTGGAAGATTTCTACCCTAATTACATTTTTGGGTTTATAGATTCTGTCCCCTCTGGGACGAATTAATGAAGCAGTGAATGATCTCACCAAAGCTATCCAGCTTCAGCCCTCAGCACGGCTGTACAGACACCGGGGGACCCTGTACTTCATATCAGAGGTGAGTTGTTTTTGCCTGCACACATTCCCTTTTGTTCAGTTTTCCGTTTACTTCGGAAAGCTACTATTTGATAGATTTGGTTTGGGTGCTGTATAATAATATGTTTGTGATAAAAGACAGTTAAAAAAGCACTTCCTTTAGCTGAAATTGAACCCAGTAGAGAAATGTTAAGTACCAAGAGCACCTTTTCTTGCTTGAGCTGTCAGCAGTAACTAATTATAGACTCGGGGGAAAAAAGAGAGAGAAGAGAAATTTGGTTCATTGACTATACTTCAGCTTTTTCTGCAAATGTCAGCATAGGGAAATGGGTGTGCGTGTTATCGATGTGATTATTGAACTGATAATCACACCCAAGAGCCAGAACTAGAACCAACATGGTTTCCCAGACTGTAGCTTCTCTGTGTAAGTGACCCGGATCCGGCAAGGTTATTGTTTATCATCATAATGATATTTATGGTTGCCACAGTTATTTTTGTGGGTTTACGTCATTTTAGTAACAATTTTCTGTTGCCAAAGAAAATAGGTTTGAAAAAGTCTCAGCATAACATATTTTAAGGTTGACCTATGGCATAATTATTTGACAAGTATTCAGTGTAATAAGATGATAGTACCAGAAAATAATTTGTCAAGTTTCTCTAACAGATTATAACCATAATACTATTTTTTACAAATAATCTTTTTGCAGTTGAGACAGTCTATTTAAATTAAACCTTTGGGGGTTTTTCCCATCAATTTCCTAAGAAAATCAACTTTCAACAAAACAGGGTAAGAATTCAGCTGATATTTATAGATATGAGATGTTCCCTTTAAAGCCAAAAAGGACACAGAATGAATTGGGTTGTTTTTTTTTCCTCGACCAGTCAAAAGTAAGAAATGTCTGAATGTCTAATGAATACTACTTTTTTCCCCCTGCTCTCCTTTTTGTAGGACTATGCAACAGCCCACGAAGACTTTCAGCAGTCCTTAGAACTGAACAAAAACCAACCTATAGCCATGCTATACAAAGGTCTAACTTTCTTTCACAGAGGACTTTTGAAGGTGAAAGTGTTGTGTACTGTGTATACAGTATCATGATTCTGCTTTTCTCTCATGGGTGGGAGGACCTTAGTGGGGTATCGTTTGGCGTGTTTTAAAATGACATCTCACGTGTCCATCTAATCGGTTTATTTTAGGAAGGAGTTGGAGTCAACATACTGATTGAGTTCCTACTATGTGGGAGGTACTTGGAGGAAGGCGCAGGTGGAGAAAGGATAAAGGCTTAGTGAGAGGGAGAAAGAATTCTTCACACTTGACACTGAGAAAAGATACAGTTTACAAAGTTTTCTTCCACATATAATTTATCATATGGTAAATACACTAAAAGAAAGTAACATGAACAAAGTGCTTTGGCAAGCGAGATAAGAAAGATTCACTTAAACTGCGGCGTTAGAGAAGGTTCCAGAGAGCAAGTGGATCTTGTCCTGGGCCTTGCAGGTGGAGTGGCTTGGGGGCAGCAAGCTACTTCAGGCAGAGAAAAAGCATGAGCACTGGCATAGAACATGGAGATACAACCAGTTTGTGGTGTAGCAAATAGTCGGGTTTGAGCGTAAGGGAGATGAGGTGGCAAGTGGGCCGAGGGGAGGCCCTGAAATGTCTAGAGTGCTATGCTGAGCATCTTGACTTTAATTTGTAGGCCCAGAGGAGCTGCAAACTCTAGATCTGGGGGAAAGTGTGTCACTGAGAGCCAGTCTGCCATGTCGGAAGTGGATTCTGACACGCCAGTGACTGGGGAGGTTAGGGGCAGAGGGCCACGGGGAGATGTTGGCAGCGTCCCCGGGGTCAGAGCTGGAGACCTGATCGGGCCTTTGGGGGCTGCAGGAGCCGGCCTGGAGACAGCTCTCCGACAGGCACGTTGCTGCTGCCACTTGGGCACCGCTATTAGTGGGGAAGGAAACAGGAAAGATGTCGTCCAAGCCGACTGACATGTGGGGTGGCAATGTCACCTCCAGCCTGTCCCTGCCTCCCGCCCTTGGTCCAGCCCCGAGTGTGCTCGGAACCTATTGTGCAGCAGCCTTGCTGTGGGGCAGACACCCATCTGGGAGCCGAGAGTGGAACTCTGGTCCTCACGGTGGCGTCCTTGGTGCCCATGGCCCGCACAGGGTAGGTGCTCTAGTGCAGGACCCATCCCCGTCTGGTTGAAAACCGGCTGGCCTGAGAGTCAGCCTCTGTGGGGTGGAAAACACCTCATGCTGACTCGGGGGTCAAGAGAGTCTTCCCAGACAGGTTGTTCTTCACCTGAACTTTGAAAGCTGTGAAGAATTTCAATAGCGCATGGCAGGGAAGGGTACTCTGGATGAAAGAACATGCATTTTATTGTGGAAAGTAGTTACGAGGATTGTGCACACACTCTTGGAGTGTAGGGACAGTTTAACTTCAAAAAGGCCTCTGTTGTAAATCCTCAGCGTTATGGGCAGTGCCTGTCACTAAGTGCTAGGGGAATAAATGAATTTCCAGGACAGAGCCTTGAATTTGGACTCAGAAGGCCTTGGCTTGAGCTTCCGCTCTGAATCCTGCGAACTCGACCACCAGCCAAGTGACTTAAGCTTTTCAGCCCCTCCTTCTCCATCTGTCACGTAGAGATTAGTCTGCTCCCCGCCTCTTGAAGGGGTTGCAAGGATTCAACAAAATAATGTGTATGAAGGAGCTGTGAGCACGGATCAGGTCTCAGTTATTACAGATTTGGTTACCTGTGAACATTTCATTTATTCTCAGTTTCCTGGACTCTAAAAAGATAACTCCCATCCACTAAAACCCAACCCAGAGGGAACTGCAGCTTTCCTTTCATACTGTCCTTCCTGCGAGTATGTGGAGGGTGCTGCGCACAGAGACTCTTCCCGCCCTCCCCGGGGTTTAGACCGGCAGCCGCAGGCGTGGAGAGCGGGTATTTAGAATGTGCCTTGAGCAACTGCAGATGGGCTTTTCCATCGCTTCTTGGCCTTCTGGCTAAGGTCAAGTGCAGCTTATTTTGTATCTGCCCCCTCTTCCTCTCACCTTCTCTCAGTCACCTTAAATTAGAAAATTCAGAATCACAATACTAGATTCGAAGTTTATGCCTTGAATATCTCATGGAGGAGAACAAGATTTGAAATGCAAAAAAAGAAAAAAATACCAACAACCAGTACTGAGAGGTTAAAAAATACTTTTTAAAGTAAACAAATGCAAACAGAGGCTTTCACCGTGGGCTCTAAAGCCGGGTTTAGGAACGTGGGCAGGGAGGGCTCTTTGTGTTACTTTGAAATGAGAATTTTTCAGAAAAGAGCTGTAACAGAGATGCTAACTACACATTGGACAAGGGCTGAGATTCGGTTTGGTTTATTCCAAATCCATGTGATGAGAACCTAGACATAGTACTTCCGTCCCACGAGCAGTAGAAGCCCCTCAGTGAACCAGTCTTGCCAAATTATTTGGTGCTTTCTCCTCTTCACTGTGCTCATAAACACAGCATCAATGTGTGTAATAGCTGGGAACTTTTTCTTTGCATTTTTATAGATCTGCTGTCCGAGGAGGTCAGAGTGTTTACGTATTGTCTCATTCATCCCAGCGGCATCCCCATGAAGTATAGAAGGAGCAGAGGGTGTCCCAGTTACACAGATTGGAAAACTGAGTCAGTGGTGACATGCCTTCGTTAAATTAATGAACTTAGTTTAGATATCTTTATTTCTCTTGTTAACTGTAGAGACAATGTATTAAATGGACCAATGAACTGGAGCTATCTTTATATCCTAAAGCTGGTCTCTTCAGGTCAAATGTAATTTAGAAATTAATTAAGTGGGTGGTGTGCTTATTTACTTTACGATGTAATACATTAGAAATTACTTAGGCAATATTATGTGACAAATGTCGCAACTGTCCAATCTGGTAGATATAGCAGACATTTTGGATTTCCCTAGGGAAAACACAGTGAAAACTTTTATCTGTGATGTAAGGATATTTCAAGAATTGTATATCCCGAGCACATGTTTTTTGATCAGCCTTCACTTTGAGAGTTCCCTGAGACCGTTCTCTTCATTATAATAAATGAGAGAAGTGCAAGGGATGGCTGCCCACCACTAGCCAGGACGATGGTGGCATAAAGGTGGTGATGGTCCCACTTGCTATGAGGACAAACTCACAGCCAGTTCATGTGCTTAGAGATTGATTCATTCGAACGTAGTGTCTTTGTTCCCAGTGGCTTCAGATCTTGATTCTACTATGTCCCCTCTTTGGCAGAATGAGGTAGAGAGCTGTGCAGTGATTAGACAGGAACCCCGAAACCAAAGACTCTTAAAAGCTGAAGAGAAATCAGACTTTGAAGAACTGTGGCGTCCCAGCATGCTGTAAGTGCAGTGGGCAGCAGATGTCTCCCGGGCATCTCCCCTAGACGTCCACAAACACCCCAGACTCACCACGCCCCAGCTGGACTCCTGACCTCCTCCCACCCCCGCCCCACCCCACCCCACCCCACCCCGCAGCTGTCTCCCCTACTTCCTTACGTTGGTTCACGCTCTCACCTTCTACCCAGGCTCTTCAGCTTCGAAGCTTCCTTCCCTCCCTTCTCCCTCATCCCCCATATTCACGGCCAGCAGATTCTTTGTTGGCCTTTAAGAATATCTCCTGAGTTTGACCCTCCTTTTCTGTCCTCAGAGACACTGTCTCAGTTTGAGTTTCCATTATGTCTTGCCTGGACCTCTGCAGCCACCTCCTCGTTGGGCTCTCCTCCCTCCCCTGTCCAGCCCGGCTCCTCTGTTGTGGCTCGTGGCAATCATCTCGCAAGAGTCAGTTTTGTGAGGTCCCACGCCTGCTCACAGCCCCCAGCCCTCACTGCTGGCAGGGTGATGCCTGGACTGCGGCACATGGCAGAGGCCCTTCTGCCTCTGGCCCAGCCCCCCGCACCAGCCTGGTCCCTGCCTTCCCTCTCCCCCGCTCCCACCCGTGCACCTGCACTCCCGCCGTCCCGCCTTCCCCACGGCTGCTGAGCACCCTGTCGCTGCGCACCAGCATTCCCCCCGTCCACAGTGCTCTCTTTCTTTGCCAAACTCCTTCTCATTCTCCCAGACCCAGCTCAGTTGCCACTTCCTCCATGAAGCCTCTCCTGGTGTCCCAGGCTCAGTTAGTTCTTCCTTTCTCTTTATTCCCCAGACTTTTACTTGTATCTCTATCGTAGCTCTTAGTTTATATTCTAATAACCTGGTTAAGTAATTGGCTTTCTAACTAGACTGAGTTCTCCGAGGACAGAGAGAATGACTTGCTCGTCTTTGTGTCCCCTGCCCCTCACACTGCCCCTGGCACATAGTAGGCGCTCAATACATGTTTGTTGGATTAAAAATATAGTTGTAGTACTCCCAAAAGATCAAGACTATACCAGGGCCAGAAGCCCAATGAGGAGTAGTCTTCAACATTTCTGAAGTGTTAAAATTTATCCATTCTCATCCTTCTACCAAACAGATTGTGGGACTCCCATTGTTGCCTTAGAAGAGTTTGAAAGCCAGCCCCTCTGACCCTGCTGCCCCCTACAGAGGAAGTCAAGAAGCAGGGAATGCGATGATTTTCTGAAAAGAATTTGGATTATGTGCTTACAAAATCATTAAATATTTATTGAGTGCCTACCATGTGCAAGACATATGACATCTTTAGTAGTTTTTTTGCTATGAATTATCTAAGTAGGTGTGAAATACACAGACATTTTGGTCTTTCTCATTAAAGCCATTAGAGATCATGATACTTTGTAGCCGCTAACTTAAGTAAGACATGTCTTTTCCTTGGGAAATGTGTGAAATGTCTTCATAATTTTTTATCACAGTAAATAGTCAAGTCATAATGGAAAGTACCTTGAATGCAGTTTAAGATGGGAATGTTTATTGTGAAGCAGAATGGTACATTTTATTAACAGTTTCCAGAGGATTCCACAGTGGCCAGGTGCGCTGTGTGTTCCCTAAGGACTCCTCACCTGTGCCCCCTTCTCCGATGCCGGCAGAAGCTATGCCCCAAACGCCCCCAACTCAAGGTTTCTGTTTTATTTTGTTTTGCTGTTTCTGTTTCCTGTAGATCATGGGAATCCTTCTGATTCCCAGTCAGTCTGGGAGCCCTGTTGCTTTTTTTATGAACAACGTCACGCTGGGCTTGCTTTTTTGTCTCTTGAGTGGTTCAGTTTAAGGGCTGCTGGTTATGGTCATTTAACATTATACTTCGCACAGCTAGTAAGCTGACTTTTATTCCGCAGGCCTTTATTAATTAAAGAAATGATGTTGACACGAAGCTGATATTGTTAGTAATCAAAGCCCTAATGAAATAGGTAGTGAGAAGCCGTTTTCCCATTCTGAAAGGGAGACACTTTTATGGCTCTGTTATTATTCATAGCAGTGCATTTGTTTACTGTTGAAATTAAATCCTCCTGACTCATAGTTTGTCATACTCTCTACCTCTCTTTTTTTTAAGTCCTCATATTAAAAAAAATCACTCCGAGACATGTGTAATATATTTTTAAGTCCTTTAGTGATTTAAGTGAAACTCTATTTTAACAGTTATGCAAATGACATAATTTTCTATATACTTTTTTCAGGAAGCTATTGAATCCTTCAAAGAAGCCTTGAAGCAAAAAGTTGATTTTATTGATGCGTATAAAAGTCTGGGACAGGCCTATAGGTAAGAAGAACAATAGTAATTGGGGTAGGAGGGAGGGCATACAGTGGGGAGACAAGAGAGCCTCACGCAGTAGTGTTATTTTAAAAGAAATTGCATTCCTTAACCAAAAGAGATTGTTGTTCTAAATCACATAGGCATTTATAAGCTTGTTGAGACCTTCTCTGGAATATAGAAAGAACCATGTGTCAGATGATATCATGATATGTATTATTACCTCTTTATTACAGCTTTGCTTCATATATATTGGTCTCGAAAATGTTAGTTCTTCAAGGGTTATTGTTTTGAATAGTGGCATTATACGCTGTTGAGTCATAGATGCTGGTGCTTTTCTAGGTGATAAGTAAGGTTAATTCCCACATCATTGTGATTGTTTGAAGATTCCTAGATTAAAGGGATGGAAAATTATGCCGCATCCCTATCATCAGTATGATTAATTATGATATAGTTATTATGCATCTGTATCAGGAGTGAGAAGTTGTGCCTAGACTCTGGTGTCCTGACTTCATGTGTCACCCCGACCAGTAGTAGAGCTTACTCTGACTTTTGGCTTTCAACAATTTTTACACTCTGACCCGAAAAGGAGATTGCATGGCATGAAAGAAGGGGCTCAGCGTTCAGGAGTCAGGAGATTTGGTTCTAGTTCTAGATTGCCCATTTCATACTTGTGTGTCCTTAATTCAAGAGGTTATTTATCTGATGGTGGTAGTTGGAGAAGCTCTCTTACACTAACTTGAAGAAAGCGTCTTTGAGTTCATCTTGGGTTTGAATGATGACCTTTATCCTTGCTGTCCCACAGAATTGTTGGGGACATACATTGAAAACAGATTTGAAAGCACCCAGAGTAATTAGTAAAGTGCTATAGAAATATAAGCGAGTGTTATATTATATAAAAATATTCATTATTTACGGAAAATTGACACATGGGACATTTTGAAGGTGCTTTTATTATTTGTAAAAATGTAGAATGTAAAAGAAGGCTGGCAATAATCATTTCCACTCTGAAATGATCACCACTCTAAAATACACTTTTTTAAAAAATGTTTAAATTATGAAATGATTTACCAGATTTTAAGTGAAGTACCTTCTGTGACAGGAATATACAGTTTTAAGCCTCTGAATTTGATTCAGAATGATGACCCTGTGTATGATTGTAATCTGCATAGTTTTTTTTGTTTTTTTCCAAAGAAGAAGCATGGTTTTATCTAAATACTAAAAATTACAGTTTTTTACGGGTGGGAGCTCATGAATGGGGGGAAAGGATTTGAATAAGCACTTGCCTTTGGAAATCAATACATTCATTTTCCCCAAAGACTTTCAAGGGCTTTGTGGTTATCCTCTAATCTGGTAAAATTTAGGAAAAGTAAGTGGGATGTAGCTGACCTCTAGAATGGTAAAATAGAGAAGAACGTCCACAGCAAGGTATCTGATTCACACATGGGACTGTAATCCTGAGGCTAACTTACTCTGTGTGTCCACTGAAATGTTCTGCACTGTGCTCATAACTGTTGTTAAATACCTAGAGAACTGGGCAATTTCGAAGCTGCCACCGAGAGCTTTCAGAAGGCACTGTTGCTCAACCAAAATCATGTGCAGACGCTGCAGCTTCGGGGAACGATGCTTTATCACCATGGCAGCCTGCAGGAAGCCCTGAAAAACTTCAAGGTGGGCATCCGTAAGTGAGAAACGCCGTAACAGCTCTCAGATTGTTCTTCAGTGACTTTGAGTGGGATGAATAGGGAGGAGGGCCAGGAATAGTGTTTACCCCTTAACAAAAAGAAAGAAAACCATTGCCATGTCTTAAAGACTACTTTACAGAGCATGTATTTGGTGTGATTTAGCCTGGAGGAAAAACGTTTCCAACTCCAGACTGAAGAATAAAGCACTTAAAACTCATCCGCGACTGTACTGATAGTAATACAGCATTTTCTCCTTCCGCGCGTCAGCGGTGTCTGCAGCTCGAGCCCTATAATGAGGTGTGCCAGTACATGAAAGGACTCAGCCATGTTGCCATGGGACAGTTCTATGAAGGAATAAAAGCACAGACTAAAGTCATGCTAAATGATCCTCTCCCGGGCCAGAAGGCTAGCCCAGAGTATCTGAAAGTGAAATATCTCCGAGGTAAGTCACAAAATGGCTCATTGAATTTTAATGCTCAGAGCTGCAGAAATCATATTGCTTGTCTCTCTTATGTTCCATAGGAGACAGCTGAGTCTCGAAGACACGAGGTAGCTTGATCATAGCCGCACCGCCCCCCCCCGCCCCCCCCCGCGCGCCTTGGTTAGCGGCAGTACCTGGATTGGATAGGGCCCCTGTCTTCTATTTTTTTTTTAAATATTTTTTATAAGGAGCGCCTGGGTGGCTCAGGTCATGATCCCAGTGTCCTGGGATCGAGCCCCGCATCGGGCTCCCTGCTAGGCGGGGAGCCTGCTTCTCCCTCTGCCTCTGCCTCTCTCTCTCTGACTTTCATGAATAAATAAATAAAACATTTAAAAAATAAATAAATATTTTTTATAAGATTTTATTTTTTTATCAGAGAGAGAGAGCGAGCAGGAGCAGGGGGAGTGGCAGGCAGAGGGACAAGCAGGCTCACTGCTGAGCAAGGAGCCTGATGTGGGACTCGATCCCAGGGCCCTGGGATCATGACCTGAGCTGGAGGCAGACACTTAACTGACAGCCACCCAGGTGTTCCTGGGCCCCTGTCTTCTAAAGACTGGTCTAGTACTTTGCCACTGCCTACATATTTTTTCTTTTTTAAGTTAAAAATATTTTACTCAAGTCAGAAAAACCTATTTTGAGCTGCAAGTGACAGTCATCTGGGTATCAATGTGTCTTCATCACATCTCGTCTAGAGACCTAGGGGTCAGAGGAAAGTAACATTTTCTGAGGTTTTTACTGTTAAATGTAAACTTGGTATCTTTGATCTGTGTCATTCCTTCATTTCACAGTTCTCACATACTTTGGAGACATTCAGTTGGGATGAGGAAGAAAGCCAATCTTTAAGCTATCTTTGGTTTGTCAGAGTCTCACTTTTTCTCTGCCATACATAATGGCATTTTTTGGTTGTTTTTTTGTTTTGTTTCAAATCAATTTTTTAATCGAAGTACAATTAACATTCAGTGTTATATTTGATTCAGGCACATAATGTAATGACTCAACAATTCTGTACATTCTCAGGGCTCATCACGGTAACATTTTTATTGTTCACACAGAGCACAAACCTTTACTTCCCCTTCTGCTCTTTCCTTTGTCATCATTAACCCTCTCACACCAGTACTGTCCAACTGTAAAAAATACGAGCCCTGGAGTTGTAAGTTTGTAGTAGCCACGAGAAAAGTAAGAATAATCATGTGGAATTAATTTTAATAATACATTTGATTTGACTTGACATATGCATGATATCAGTTCAACATGTAATTAATATGAAAACACTATTCATTAATATCATTAGGTATCTTACATTATTTTTTTGTACCAAGTCTTTGAAATCGGATGTGTATTTTATACTTATAGTACATCTTTATACTTACATCTCAATTAGGATGTTAAATTTTCATTGGACATTCTTAATTTGAATTCTTGTTTCATAAAATTTAAAGTTGAAAGAGTAGATTCATATATGTGCGTTATTCCAAACATTCTGAAGTTTTCTAATAATTGGCTCAAATATCAATTTTTACATTTAGATTAATTAGATTAAAATTTAAAATACAATTTCTCCGTCACTCTGGCCACATTTTATACTTTTATTTTTCTTTTTTGAGAGAGAGAGTGTGTGCACAAGCGTGAGCAGTGAGGGCGGGAGAAGAGGGAGAGGGAGAGAAAGAATCTCAAGCAGGCTCCATGCCCAGCATGGAACCCAACACGGGGCTCAATCTCACAACCCTGAGATCATGACCTAAGCCAAAACCAGGAGTTGGATGCTTAACCGACTGAGCCACCCAGACACCCCCCACACGGGCCATGTTATAAGTGTTCACTAGCCAGGTGGCTAGAGGCTGCCTACTGGACAGCATTGCTCCTCACTCTAATATGATTTCCTCTTCTTTCCTGGTTTAGTAGAACATGTGAGCTGTACACTGAAGGAGGGGCACTCCATATTCTGGTATTTTTCTGCACTGCTTCTCTAGAGATAAGCAGCAGTTAGTTGATGAAATCATATACATAGTTGATTCATATCAGTTGACAGAGAACCAGGCTCTGTCTGACACTGAACTTGGATTCTCAGATTCTGCAACTAAAAAGTGAGATCTTTGATGCTGTTCATGGAAAAATGATGAAAACTTAGCTAAAGTGGACCTGGATTGACTGGCTTATGTTCGATCTTGGTATTTTGAGTTACCCTGTATCATATAATAATAATAACTTACTACAATTTGGAGTCTCCATTTAGAATTCTTAGAGTTCTTGGAATTCTTGGAATTAATGCTTTGTTACAAAGTATTTGTATGGCAACCAGCAATAAAAAAGATTTCTTCAGCAATATTTGGGTGTGTCAGATCTCGTCTCCTATCTGCAGAGTATTCTCGATATCTTCACGCACACCTTGATACTCCTCTTACGGAATATAACATTGATGTGGATCTGCCTGGAAGCTTTAAAGACCACTGGGCTAAAAATCTACCTTTCCTCATAGAAGACTATGAAGAGCAGCCAGGGTTGCAACCCCACATAAAGTAAGTGCTTTAAATGAAAACAACCTTTCTTGCTTTTTCAGGCTGAGCTATAAGCTCATCCTGATAACGCTTGCTCAGTAAATGGCTTCCTATCCATGTTTCTCAGGAATTTATTTTTGGATTTGGTATGTCTGCAGATACTTCTTTTAGTTTGTAAGGTACATTGAAACTTACCTTTGGATATCACCTTTCCTTCTAGCCCGATCTTCCTGCTAATTTTATGCAACCTTCAAACTTCAGATGTACTTGTTGATATACATTACTATTATCATTTACTTTTAAAACAAATTACTCAAAACCAAAAATTTGAAATTACACTGCTGGCCAACTACTGTTGCATTATGACTAAAGGGCTATCTGATTACAAAACAGTTAGATCTAGGATAGAAATTCCTGGGAGTCTAGCAATGCCTTAAAAATTAAGAAAAATCTGCAAAGATCAATCCCCTCACTGTCTAAAAGAAGGAAAAGCAGGGGACAGATTCAAACTAGAGTGGTGAATGATAGGCACATTGGAAAGGAAGAAAGTCTCCTGGAGGTGAGGGCATCTAACAGGCAGTACAATGGAATGCCTTGAGGCATAAGCAAGATGGGTTTGCTGAGCTTTTTTAAGGAGCTAAAGTGGTTCCATATCGGAGGACCATATTCACAGGATCTCAACAAGAGCAATTGCAGATCCTGCCTGAGAAGATAGTAGTGCCAGTTTGGGGGCCCAAGTATTCCCACAGATTAAGATCATTAGTATGAGAATCAAAAACCAAAATCACCAAAATCATATGTGAAAATCAACAGAAATAACAACAGATTTAAACTCTCAAGGACTTCAGATATTGGAATTGTTGAATACACTCTCTAACTCCAAATGAAATGTTTAAAGAAACTATGAAGAAACCACAAACATGAGCAAGAAACAAGAGATTATTAAAAATGACCAGGCAGATTAAAAATAAATTGGAAGCTTTAGGAATAGAAAATATAATCATTGAAATAAAGAATTCAGTATGTAAGCTAAATAGCAAATTAGACATAACAGAAAATTGCAGAAGTGGAAGATAGAGCATTAGGAATTATCTAGAACGTAGCACAGAGAATCCAGGTGTTAGAAAACATGAGAGATAGAAGATGTGGAAGATAATAAGAATGTCTGGCATATATCGAGATGAAATCTTGGGAGGAGAGAATGGAGGAGAGGCAATTTTTGAAGACCTAGTAGCTACCAATTTCCCAGAATTAAGGAAACCTAGATCTGCAGATTTTTTTAAAAAGCAAGATAAATGGCAAGAAATCCATATTCAGACACATCTTAAGTAACAGGAGAGCACATAAGGAGAAAAAATTTTTTAAATAGAAAAACAAATCTTAATCACCTACTTAAGGTCAATAATTGGACTGACTGTAAGCCTCTTAACATCAAAATGGCAGCTAGAAGATAATGGACTATCTTCAAAGTGCTGAAAGGAAAACTAACTTTCAACCTAGAATTCTATACCCAACAAAACTATCTTTTATGAATAAAGACCAAATAAATATCTATTCAGATAATAAAAAACTGAACCACCACGTGCCATTCGCTATAGAAACTTCTAAGGCATGTAGTTAAAGAAAAAGGCAATTGATCTCAGGCAATATTTGAGATACAAGAAGGAATAATGGGAAAAGAAAAATGGTAAGCATGAGAAATTGGTAAGTCTGAATAAGCATTGTCTATATAAAATAATATCTGATTGGGGGATTTATAAAAAGGACAGAAATAAAATACTGGGCACAATAACAAGTAAGTTGAGGGATAGCAAGAAATTAAGTATTCTAAGGGAATATGGGTTAAATATTACGTTAAAGCTTTAAGTTATACATAAATATTTAAAATATCTAGGGTGAGAACTAAAAGTTAGAAACAAAGTGTATAGTTTCTATATTAGTAGCAAAGTAAAAACAAAACAAAACAAAAAATTTAAATCTAAAATCAACCAGAAAAGGGGGGACTGGGAGGCATTAAACAAGTGGTACAAATAAAAAGAAAAAAATAAGAATAGGTTGAAATAATCCAGACATATTAATAATGACAATATATCTAAATGGATTAAATGTCAAAAGACAGACATAGTTGGATTGGAATGTTTTAAAAATCCAGTTAAGTGCTTTTTAAAAGGGGCACGTAATGCATAAGGACACAAAAATTGAAAGTAGAGGAATGGAAAAAGTTCTACTTGGGAAACACTAAAAGAATCCTGATGTAGGTATTAATATTAATAGATTTATTTATTTATTTTTATTTATTTTATTTTTTTATTAACATATAATGTATTATTTGTTTCAGGGGTACAGGTCTGTGATTCTTCAGTCTTACACAATTCACAGCGCTCACCATAGCACATACCCTCCCCAGTGTCCATCACCCAGCCACCCCATCCCTCCCACCCCCCTCCACTCCAGCAAAACTCAGTTTGTTTTCTGAGATTAAGAGTCTCTTTTGGTTTGTCTCCCTCTCTGGTTTCATCTTGTTTCATTTTTCCCTCCCTTCCCCTATGATCCTCTGTTTTGTTTCTCAAATTCCTCATTTCGGTGAGATCATGTGATAATTGTCCTTCTCTGATTGACTTATTTCGCTTAGCATAATACCCTCTAGTTCCATCCATGTCGTTGCAAATGGCAAGATTTCATTTTTTTGATGGTTGCATAATATCCAATTGTGTGTATGTGTGTGTGTGTGTGTGTGTGTGTGCGTATACCACAGCTTCTTCATCCATTCATCTGTTGATGGACATCTAGGCTCTTTCCATAGTTCGGCTATTGTGGACATTGCTGCTATAAACATTGGGGTGCACATGCCCCTTCGGATCACTGCATTTGTATCTTGGGGTAAGTACCCAGTAGTGCAATTGCTGGGTCATAGGGTAGCTCTATTTTCAACCTCCATACTGTTTTCCAGAGTGGCTGCACCAGCTTGCATTCCCACCAACAGTGTAGGAGGGTTCCCCTTTCTCTGCATCCTTG